ACATTATTTGTTGGGTCTACACATGTTTAAGCTGGGTCTAAAACATTGGTAACCTGGGTCTACAATTTTTAGGCTTGAACTACACGTTTTATGCTGGGTCTACACACGTTTAGGCTGTGTCTACAAATATTTTAGCTGGATGCAAGTTTTAGGCTTTGTTTACACATTTATAGGCTGGGTCTACATACGTTTAGGCTGTGTCTACAAATATATTGGCTGGATGCAAGTTTTAGGCTTTGTTTACACATTTATAGGCTGGGTCTACACATTTTAGACTGGGTCTACACATTTTTAGGCTGGGTCTACAATTTTTTTGGCTGGGTGTAAAATTTTTAGTCGTATCTACATATTTTAGGCTGTGCTATATATTTTCAGGCTGGATCTATCATTTTTAGGCTGGGTCTTCACATTGTTAGGCTGGGTCCACACAATTTTGCGCTAGGTCTACACATTTTTTGACGTGGTCTTCACATTTTTAAGCTGGGTCTACACATTTTTAAGCTAGGTCTATAAATATTTAGGCTGGGTCTTCACATTTTTGGCTAAGCTGACCTAGGAGCCAACGTCAATTTTGATTCGGTTTCAAACTCAGAATTTCGGGCCATTTGATAACCATTACTCTACATCAACTCCACTGAGAATAGTCTTGAACAAATAATTGATCTCGACATTGGACAATATCAGCTCTGAAAACCCGTGTTTACTCAGTGTTAACCCATCAAAGTTTATGTTCTGTAAAACCACATTACGTATGATTCTAACTAACTTGGACAGGGTGGAGAAAACTAAAGTAGTTTTCTGGAAAATATATGCGGGAAATATCAAAGGCTAAGTTGGTAATGTTTTCCATAGAGAAATCACTGTATTGCGCACTTACATGTGGGAATATATATATATATATATATATATATATATATATATATATATATATATATATATATATATATATATATATATATATATATATATATATAAAATATGGGAGGCGGGTGAATATGTGTTTGTAAATTATGTAATGGGTTTTTAACGAGATTTATCTGTATCTTTATTGCGGCATGGACACAGAGAAATCATGGGGGGGGGGGGGGGGGGGGCGGGGGTACAAACCCCTTATAACTTTCAAGGGTTGGTGAAGGGGGAAGGCGAGGTTGTAGCTGAAGTGGCTTAGACCTTGTTTTAGTACGCAGTGTATTATTATTACTATTATTATTATTGTGTGCTAAGAAAGATGTCTCTATGTTGGCCACATCCTGCAAAGGAAAGAACAGCTAATAAACAAATAGGCACTCGGAATGTGAAATACACAGACTTGCGGATGTAAACGTCCAAAAGAGGACAGAGGCCAAAGATGCTAGACTGAATTCCATTCATAATTCTAAAATGATTGCATAAATAGAAGGAAATGGACGGGAATAGACTGCGAGTCCTATGTGACTGATACGGCACAATAGGACAATGAATGATGAATTCATGTACTGCGTAGTTAACATGCATTTATATGTATTTGCATACATAAAATATGGCCTAGTGGATGTACATATTTTTAGTTGTAATTTACAACTAGGTGGGCTTTAACGAGATCTGTTTCTTACATGAATGAGCGCCAACACCTCCACCCCTAGCTACTTTATAGTTTTTAAGAATGTTGTTACCGCGGGAGGGGGGGGGGGGGGGGGGGGGCAGGGAGAAAAAAAAAGGGAGGGGGGTGTTGTCAGGAGTTCAACTATTTATTTGTTAGCGTTTGAGGGGTAATGGGGGGGGGGGGTGTCGGGTTCAGGCTCATTGTGTTTTTTTTTTTGGTTTGAGGGAGGGGGAGGGGGCGAAGGTGGTTTGCAACTTAGGAGGCTTCAGCTTTGTTTAAGCATGCCATATATTATTTCTATTATTTGCTAAAGAAGGTCTATATTTGCAACATCCTGATAAGGAACGAGCAGAGAATCGCCAGACAGGTACTATTTGACCATTTATTACTGAAAAAACAAAACAAAAAAATCGACCAGTTTTAACCTGCTGCGAACAGTATTGTTTATGATTGTGGTTTGATTTCTTTATACTATTATTATTATTATTATTATTATTATTATTATTATGCTATTATGTTGGCTAAGAAACGTTATTAATTGCATCAAAAAACAGTCGTTTTGATATGTACTCTAGTACCCATTAGGGGTTGTTGGGAAGGGGCTGGTATATATTATATACATCCACACACATACATAGACACACATGTAATATTCGTCACACACACACACACACACACACACACACACATATATATATATATATATATATATATATATATATATATATATATATACATACACACACACATATATATATATATATATATATATATATATATATATATATATATATATATATATATATATATATATATATATATATACGCACACACACACACACGTCTGCACGCCCAGGTGGGAACGCACGTATACGGTTTGCATACACACACCTGCATATATACACGTGTGTACACCCATGTGGTAGTTTATGTATACGTGTTTTCACACACACACACACACACACACACACACATGTTTACGTATTGGTGGGGCGGCTAGACGCTCGCCTGTGGATCGGAAGACCATGGGTTGAATTTTCGACGGAGCCTAACAAATTTTTTTTTTTCTTTTTAAAAAATAACCCTAGCCTCCATGTGGACCCAGCCTTGAATAGATACACGTGTTGTATGTGATATTTCGTATTATTTGCTCACTGTTTACTAGTTTGTGTCTCTTCTGGTTGTCATGAAATGAACAGCCACCACACACA